TGAGTAACAGAACAATAGAGACTCACGCAATTGAAATTTTCAACAATGCTGGAATTCTTAGGAATCCTAACTAACTAAAGAAATTCAGGAACTGTTTCAAAAGTGAGTGAAAGAATAGCCTGTTTCAGCTTCTCATTATATAACAGAAAAATGAAGGTCTAAGAAGATTTAGCAAGTTGAAACTTTGAAGATTACTTGGATTCAGAGGCAGTCACTGGAATTATAATGGAAAACCAATATTTTATTTCCGGCAATTCTGGTATTAGTTATATATTTGAGCCATTGTTTGTCATCACTTTCAAGGATAATAGCAGACATTTTATTTATAAATGACTAACAATAGAGGTGAAATATTGACCCTGACAGCAGGTCAACTGAGAATTGTCATGTCAGTGAGAGTGAATGGAACTGTCCGAGCTTGTTTCAATGTTCACTCTTCAGAATGGTCAGAGACAATTGCTGCTGAATTATCCTATTGATAAATCATTGATATTTCTGTCATATATTGACAATGATGACAATTATGACATGAATAAGAGAACAATTTGTTGATTGCTGATTGAATTAAATATGAAGCAAGTAGGTTGTAGAAGATAATAACATGTCTCCAACTGAGAGTACAAGCTAGCTTCAACATGTTTTTACTTTGTAACTTGCCAAATGGTTTGGAACCTTGAACCACACAACCTTCTTAATACAGAACCATACAGAGCGAAGAAGTTCTGGAGTTCAAGGTTTAATTTCAACAATTGAAGATGGTATTGGTTATATGACCTTGGATTACCATTTTCAGAAATGCAGGTCGGTGCAAAAAATACCCAGGCATTTGAGTGTGACTAGAAAGATTCTGAGTGCTCCAGACCGTGCATGTCTTTGACAGTTGGAAATTAAAAATGAATACCACTGTCCTGTTCTTCCACAAAAAAAGTGTTGGACGTCACTAATCACAAAATTTGCTTTATCATATTTTGTGATTAGTGTCGTCACTAAACACTTATTGAATCCCAGACGTCTGATTGATATATATAAATTTCCCATGATACAAGATATTGTGAAAACCCAATAACTAGCAATGATTATGATGAAAACTCTAGAATTTACCTTTTGAAGATTAAGCTTAAATATAATAAAAAAAAAATTTTGAAAATTAAGCCTTGCCTTTCGACAGTTGGCAATTAAAAAGTTGTCTCATAACCCCAGTACTCAATAACTCAACTCTTGCAGAAAATGTGATGAACAATACATTAGAGAGACAAAAAAAATCGTTAAGGTTCCATTCCAATCATCATAAGTCTGACATCAACTTAAAAAAATCAGATCACCTACTAGATCTTTACAAATGATCTTTACAAATGACCTACACCTGAAATAAAAATCTAAATGATATCTTAGTCCGTGGTAGATTACATTACATGGTAGATATGGATTTCATTTCAAATATTTTATATTATTATTCAAACTAACTGCAAAAACAATTCTCTCACTAGAGGTTACTATATCATCTACATGCCTGTGCTTTCATAACATAAACTCAACTGTAATATTACAACCTACAATTCCAAACCGGAGCAGAGAAGTAGGATGTTAAAACACCATTACAGATCATTTCATTTTCTTGTGCAAGAATAGTCTTGTACATCACAAATGTCAGTCTTATCAGACTTGTAGGTCAAGACTAATTGTTGAGGGACCAGTAAAGTTCAGTGGAGACTAGCTGACTTAATTTCAAGACCGGCTTACTTTTTTACGTTCAGTTGAAATGCTGTTGATTTAATGATGTCAGTTGAAGAAATCAAATTCTCATTTCAGAGAAATATTTCCTGTTTTGAATTGCTTTTAAAGAGACAGATTCACCAGTTTCGGGAGGATGATTTGGGTCTTGAATATATGTAATTATCCTTCAGAACTACTAGAAATGTACAAAAGTCGCATTATACCTGCAGAAATTAAGAATTTCACTTTCTATATCTATATTTTATGTCTTTTCTATATATATGAGTCTCTAGAAATGAGTCAGCATTTTAACATTCAAACTCAGATTATTCTAGACACTCATGGATTTGAAGGCTGAAATTTCGATGATGGGCTGTGAACACTATTACTGATTAGTTTAGCTAGACTAAGTACAATTGGTTAAACGGATGGCGAACCTGTCTCTTTAAAATACAATATTTTAAATCTAGAAATCAAAATTCTCATTTAAGATATTCTATGAACTGATTATGGTCGTGCACGTTTCAGTATTAATATCATATTGTCTAAATTCTATCAACCTTGGGCTACTCTAAAAGGATTATGATAATTATTGCTAAAAATCAATTAGAACAGAAAGTTAATAGTATGTGTATTACCACTCACTAGATTATAATGTTTCTAATAAACCACATTAGTTGATATGTCCAGTAGGAGTGGTGTTTCAATGGACAGTGTGGGGGGTGTAGGGGGCATGGCCTCCCAGAACTGAGGCTGGTCTAGCTATGCCCTCCACCCACTCTCAGATTTCTTATCAATTTATATCAGGAAAGGAAGCCAGTGAGCTCCAGTTCTGTGGTACCTACTAAATTTAATGATTGATGAAAATGTCACTGTCCAGGAAGTTTAGGAGGATTTGATTCTACATGATATCATGGCGAAAATTACAAGTTATTTACATTCGTGTATGAGGCGGCAAATATAACATTATCTTTATTTAGAATATTTTGTTCTATCTCTTGATGTCAGTATATTATTACTAATTCAACCCACACAACTCTTTTCCTTACACAATATCCATTGTTGTTTTAAAGAATAGATTTTTCTTGCTATTCAAAACTGTATAAGCTTGTCTTTTTAATAACTCTGAAACTCTTAAGGTAGTTCTGAATAAAATTCACCACCTTAAAAACGAAGCTGTTTGGATAAGGCAAACCATAGTCCCAGTCATTTATTGATAAAGTAGTATGGTTTTAACAATAGTATTTAAATCTGTATTTGCTGTAAGCATTCCTGTATTGGGTACTGTACAATCTACAATAAGTGGTTCTAAGAAATTCGCACTTTCTAGTGATTTATTGTTGTTTTGTTTCAAAAAAATTGTATTGTGTAATGGAAGACATGAAAGGGATAGTTGCGCCATTTTTTTAATCAATCATAATTTAGTCTAACAAACGGGATTTTTTTAGCTAAGCCAATCTGTAATAGTTTTCACAGCTCACCTTCCAAATTTGAGCCTTCAAATCCATGTGTGTCCAGAATTATCTGCGTTTGAATGTTAAAGTGACAACTCTTCATTTTGAAATACTCTGTGATATATAGAAAAGACATATATAGAAATAGTTAGTAAAATTCCTAGTTTGAGGTATTTTAAAGGAATTATGCGTTTTTCGCTCATTTCTAGTATTTCTGAAGACTATTAATGTATATCCAAGACTAAAATCAACCCCCCAAATTGCTACATCTGTCCCTTTAAGACAATTGTCAGAAATTGTGTAGAGATGTAGGGGGGAATTATTATGTATTAAACAGTTTCAAGGGACTCGGAATGTTAAACTAAGTGATTGTTATCTATTAACTTTAAACATTAAACTGTATCATAAACCAATATTTCATAGTGATACTATATTATCTAAAACAGAGAGACATTTATAATCATTCTGAACACAGAGAACTACTGTAGTACTAAGATTTGTTCTTTGATACTTTAAGCAACCATGTTATATTTTAGGCTTATACAACCAGAGAGAACAATTGGTATGAATATGAAGTAATAGTCAGCATTTCATTATACAGATATTTATAATCATTCTGAACACAGAGAACTACTGTAGTACTAAGATTTGTTCTTTGATACTTTAAGCAACCATGTTATATTTTAGGCTTATACATCCAGAGAGAACAATTATTGGTATGAATATGAAGTAATAGTCAGTATCATTATGCAATTATTTATAATCATTCTGAACACAGAAAACTACCATTGTACCAAGATTTGTTCTCTGATACTTTAAGAAACCATGTTAGATATTTGGCTTATACAATCAGAGACAACAATTGGTCCGAGGTTGAAGTATATGTAAAAATAAAGTAATACAGTGCTCTGAATTCTATGCTGATGCTATGCTTTCAGAATATAGTCAGGAACTCTAGGAATATATTAGGCAAATTTGAATTTTTCATTTCAGTGAACCATGTTGTTTGGAACTATTTCATTCATTCTATTGTAGTCAAACCCTTTGATTGATATGACAGCAATATAACAATCAAAGAAGATTTGTTACAAAAAGCTGATATACTTCAGAACCTCTAAATCAGAGCTGTCATTTGTCATAAAAAATCAGTGTGCGTAAGAATATTGCATGTCTGGCTTTTAGATCAATGTCACAAACTGATATCTACATTTAGCAGGGTGCTAATACAAGTTTTATAAAATTAACATGAGATTAAGCTACAATATGAATATAGATCTAATGATATAGTCCTAGATCTATAGAGAATAATATCTGTTATGATATATCACAATAAACAGATATAAATCTTTAATAACAGTATTATAACAGTATTTAAAATCTTTAATATCAGTCATTAAAGAAACTAAGGTAGTAGTTCAATGAATCTAGATCTCAGATTAAGGTTAGAAAGTAGAAAGCATTAAGAAATATTATTAATAGATTGTTTGGATATTAAAGCTATCTGAAAACAAGCAAAAAATGGACTCCTTCTCTATACATATTTAAGGCTTTTACGGGGAAAGTGCCTGTGAGTCCCTCTAGACAATTCTGTGGCACCTTTCCCCATCTAATGATTTATTAAAAAGCTACTAAGTAGTACTGAGTACTGTTAATTTACAGCGACAAAACTTGATTTCATTTGTTTGGTTATGTCAGGTTATAAAATTAATTGGCAAACAAAAGTTTGCAGGGACATTGAAAAAGTCACCATTCATTTTTTTTGACATACCAGATGCAATCTAGAGCTGATCATCTTCAAGTACCAGCTGGTATAACAGAGTGTAGGACAAATGCTCACCAGACAATTTCTCACCAGACAATTTTTCACCGGAAAATTGCTCACCAGACAATTGCTCCCCAGACAAATGCTCCCCAGACAATTGCTCCCCAGACAATTGCTCCACAGACAAATGCTCCCCAGACAATTGCTCACCAGACAATTGCTCAACAGACAAATGCTCCCCAGACAATTGCTCACCAGACAATTGCTCACAAGACAATTGCTCCCCTGACAATTGCTTATTGGGCAAATGCTTATTGGGCAAATGCTCACTTGACAATTGCTCACCAGACAATTGCTCACCAGATAAATGCTCCCCAGACAATTGCTCACCAGACAATTGCTTATTGGGCAAATGCTCACCAGACAGTTGCTCACCTGACAATTGCTCACCAGACAAATGCTCACCAGACAATTGCTTATTGGGCAAATGCTCACCATACAATTGCTCACCAGACAATTGCTCAACAGACAATTGCTCAACAGACAATTGCTCACCAGACAATTGCTCAACAGACAAATGCTCACCAGACAATTGCTCACCAGACAATTGCTCACCAGACAAATGCTCACCAGACAATTGCTCACCAGACAAATGCTCACCAGACAATTGCTCACCAGACAAATGCTCACCAGACAATTGCTCACCTGACAATTGCTCATCAGACAAATGCTCACCAGACAATTGCTTATTGGGCAAATGCTCACCAGACAATTGCTCACCAGACAAATGCTCCCCAGACAATTGCTCACCAGACAATTGCTTATTGGGCAAATGCTCACCAGACAATTGCTTATTGGGCAAATGCTCACTTGACAATTGCTCACCAGACAATTGCTCACCAGACAATTGCTCACCAGACAATTGCTCACCAGACAATTTCTCACCAGACAAATGCTCCCCAGACAATTGCTCACCAGACAATTGCTTATTGGGCAAATGCTCACCAGACAATTGCTTATTGGGCAAATGCTCACTTGACAATTGCTCACCAGACAATTGCTCACCAGACAATTGCTCCCCAGACAAATGCTCCCCAGACAATTGCTCACCAGACAATTGCTCACCAGACAAATGCTCACCAGACAATTGCTTATTGGGCAAATGCTCACCAGACAATTGCTCACCAGACAATTGCTTATTGGGCAAATGCTCACCAGACAATTGCTTATTGGGCAAATGCTCACCAGACAATTGCTTATTGGGCAAATGCTCACTTGACAATTGCTCACCAGACAATTGCTCCCCAGACAAATGCTCAACAGACAATTGCTCACCAGACAATTGCTCACCTGACAATTGCTCAACAGACAAATGCTCACCAGACAATTGCTCACCAGACAAATGCTCACCAGACAATTGCTTATTGGGCAAATGCTCACCAGACAATTGCTTATTGGGCAAATGCTCACTTGACAATTGCTACCGGAAGCTACTATTAATAACTATAAAGTACCCTAGTGACGTCATAAAACGCATAAGTCGGAATGAAAATTGGAATGGTGCAAATTGATGCTATCAGTGTCCCCAATACACATAAAAAGTTTAGAAAACCTCTTTACAATCCCTTTAAAATAGTATCCTATAAAATAGGGTTGCTTTATCACTTTTTTGAGCTATCTTTTACCTTAACATTTTATGTAAAAAGTAACAGCCAATTTCTCTTTCTTGACCACTTAATGAACAATGTGTCAGTAAGATAGAAAAGATTCAATTCAGCTACATCATTTTAACTTCTTTTATTGCTTGTCTTTGCCTGTCAACTAGAAAGTTTTTTCTTATATTTAGTTAAGTTAGATTTAAAAAGTACTAAGTCATTTCAAAATGTCTGATTGGATGAAATTTGTTAGATTTTCTCCATTTGAAGACAAATTTCAATAGATGATGACATGTTAAAAGCATTATGGGACGTCTGATAGACAAACTTAAATATACTCAGGGAATTCTTTCAGAGATGAAAATTTTGACTTTCATTTCAAAATCTGTGGATGTTATTTTCACTTCAACTTCTTATTATTTACTTTTCATCAGTATGAAAATTTGATATCTTCAATACTGTCTAGTCTGAAATTGAGAAAACTGTGAATATTATTTCTGATTCCTTCAAAATGTTGTCAAATTAAGCTCATCTTATAACTTGGGGTTTTAAACTTGTGATATAAGTCTGATAATGCACTCTAGAGTCATGGGCCGGTAATTTATTACTTGCGATTCTATTTCTGTTTCGACAATAAAATCATCTATAACTTTTCTCAAGGAGAAGAAAAAAAGAACCAAAATTATGATTTTGCTATTAAGTAAAATTTCCATTTCTATGAATGTGTGAAGTTTCAAAATTTATGCACATTTTTTACCTTTATCATTTTTGAATCTTTATACAAAGTATATTTTGAATCAGCAGCTATTCAACTCATTAAACGTGAAATGACATTTGAATTCAGTAAGTTTTGAAACAAACAAGTAGTTTTGGATACAAGTGTGGTAAAGGGATGACTGTTTTTTTTTCTTTAAAGGAAGTTAATATCAGTTAGACTCTAATAATACTTTGAACCTATAAATTAAGCCAAATATCTTATATCAAATTTATTAGATAAGGAGGTAGCGGGGCTAAGTATGGCAACAAAATTTCATAGGGGCTAACAGGCAATTACCCCATAGGCATGTCAATGAAGTTTTTAAGTTTTGTATTCTTTGAGTCAAGATGATATATCAGTGGAAAGAATTGTCACACAATAACATTTACTTTCTCCTTTCTAACATATACTTCCGGTTCTACCTACATTTTCTTTTTTTTATAAGTCTGCCAGAATTCTGCTGAATTAAGAAATTTTGCTAATTAGTCTTTGACATTTTGGTCTTAGTGTTGCATTAAACTGTTAGATTGTGTAACTGTAATGTCTGTTTAAAGCCTTGGTGGCTCAGTTAATTCTATCACCTCTAATTTATCAGAATGTCAGGGGATGGATTGTCCCTGTGTGGGTACAGAGAGTTCTGGTTAATTTGTCTCTTATCTTCTTGTGGGAGTTCACATGGAAAGACTTTTTTCACCTGATAATAAAACTTGCTGAACATTTTTCTCCAATATTGTGTGCTTTGTTTGCTTGAAACAGCATTTTTAATTTGGATTTTCATTCATATTGTCATACTGTTATTTTGGATTTTCAGTTTTATTTTGGGATTTGAATTGTTAGTACTTGTATTTTTTACAAATTGTATACAAATTTTGGGTAGAAAAGTCAATTGAAAAATAACAGAACGTAATCCTGATAAGATAAAACTGAATGGCAGTGCTAATGTAAATATGGAATGAATAAAGTATTTCACCACAGGTTTAAATTTCTATTTCCTTCATTCAATCAGTGACAATCAATCTCTTGCTGTTCTTGTCTTTTGAATGTCCTGAGGGGTGGCTATATTACATTCTGAACATACAAGATTTCCATTTTGCCATATATTGTTCTCTGTAGCAAACAGCAGCCATGTTAGATTTCAATGGATAGATTACATCATTATGAGAGGATAACAGAATTTATATAATAAAATATTGTTTAAAAAGTGAAAGTAGAAGTATTCCCTTGCATTGGTCAATTATATTGTGTTTAAAATGTGTTGTTGTTGATCTTTAGAAATTGAGTTGATTTTAGATCGGAGAAGGGAGCAAATTATACCTCTTTCGGACATTTGTATTGCAAAGTTTATTATCTGCACCTCAACTAAATAAGTTGAATTTTTAAAAAGGCTTGATATTTTAACCATGACTTTATATCAGCTTAAAAATTTACTTTAAATGTGATTTGAATGCTTTGTTGTAATATTAAAGCCTTTATAAAAATGTGGCTTTATAAGTCAAGGTAGAGATTTAAAATGGCTGTAAACTATACGTTGGAGTGTGTTATTAACATGTAAGTAGTTTCATTTGATAATTGATGAAATAGATGAAATATCAGTATAGGTAAAATCAATGTTGGCTTATTGTCAGTATGTCTCTCTTAGCTAGATAATTGGAATGTGTAAAGAACTTGTCTCAGCTGTTTGTTTAAAATTAAATTGGAATTTCAGCCTAGCATCTAAGTGAAATTTTATTAGGAAAGAGCATCTTTTAAAGTTATTAACATCGTGCTATAGTGATTTTAAGTGGCTTATGCAGAATGAATGGGGACATTTGGCCCTAAATGATTTTATTTAATTACTTAGGGAAATTTACAATACAAAAAAAGAGTTGTGTTTTTACTTTCCAATGCTGTAAGATGATAATAGTTGAGGTTCACTTGGTATCTGAGGTGATCTCACTGAAGTTGTTATTTAACAATAAATCAGGATGGCGTTTGATGATTCTTAATGAGTTCTTTTAAAAAAAAACACTGAAATTCATTTTCATGTTGATAATTTAAAGGGATTGTATAGAGGTTTCTACAAAGATTTATGTGTATTGGGGACATTGATATCATCAATCTGCAGCATTCTAAATTCAATCAGACATCTGTGGTTTGTACAATTCCACTAAAACTAAGTATCTGATGAAGTCACTAATTGCAAAATATGATATATCATGTTAGGCCCTTTGTGTTTAATGACGTAATCAAATACTCAGTTGTAGTGGATTTGCAGGAACCACATTTGTCTGATTGAGAATTGAAATGGTGCAAATTGATGCTATCAGTGTCCCCTATACAGATACAAAGTTTAGAAAACCTTTACAATCCCTTCAACGATAAATCAAGATGGTTCTTTATAAGTTCTTGTCATAAAAAGACAACTGAATTTTATTTTACTGTCAATAATACAATGGTTCTATATTTGCTTGCTTGTGTATTTTTTACAAATTACAAGATGTAGGGTTTATTTATGATTGATATACTTTTTCATATGAAAGGTTCACAAGCTGCTGCCAATGTTTTTTTGTTTTGTTTTGCTTGTTAGTACTTGGGTTTTTTGTGTAAAGAATTCTTTTCAATACTGACAGAGCATCTGTCACTGCTTCTCCCAGTAGAATTTTTTATGTCAAAATTTACAAATAATTTACTTTCAATAGTCTACATTATTTGTTGTTTAATTGAATGGAAGAGTTTGGAAAACACAAGTGTGTCATCAAGGGATTTGAAGTATTTTCATGCTCTCACTAGTCTCACTCCAAAGAACAAGCTAATCAAAATACAGCTTCAGTTGTTTTGTGTATTGCTGATGTTGAAAAATGTCTAGTGGTTTGGAACAGACAATAACACGCAATGTTAATTTCTTTGCTAATTTGAGATCTAACTATGTTTATATCTAAGATGTGTTCACAAATCAACCAATTAGATCCTATATGAAGTAAGAGGGTAAAGACAACATTATTCATCAGTTGGAACAGTCAGTAATCTGAGGCCTTCTCAAGATGTGTTCTACTTTGCTAATTTAAGATCTAACAATGTGTATATCTAAGAAGTGTTCATAAATCAACCAATTAGATCTTCTATGAAGTAACAGCTTAAGACAACATTATTCATCATTAGGAACAGTCAATAATCTGAGGTCCTCTCAAGATATGTTCTTTAAAGTTCTTGGTTACTTTGCTAATTTGAGATCTAACAATATTCATAAGCAATCTATGTTCACAAATTCTACCAATCATTTGCTGTATTAAGTATAAGTTTAAAGACAATGTCATTGATCAGTGGGTGTATGAAACCAGAATTGTGCTCATTGAGTTCTTATTTTGCAATTTGGTTGACCCAAATCGTTCAGTGGCGTTCAATCCCTAATGGAAGAAATTAAAACAAATTGAAGCTGTGGCTCAACAGTCTGTTAGATTTTTGAAATGTGTCAGACATGACATTCACCAGAGACCATTACTTCTTCATAAAGTGTAGGATTTGATTGAATTATCAAGGACACTAGTTATAATCTGAACTGACTTAGTTTTAAACACTAATTAACACCTCTCTTCAATTTTCCTAAATTATTTTGAATTATACAAATTATAAAATGTAATTTACCAAGCATGGATGATATTTTAGCTTAAATAATTACACACTAAATCATTTGCGTTTCATAATCATCACAAGATTATGATGTATAATTGTCTAGAGCTCATCTAATGCTGCTGCCATAAGGTGTTTTGGATTTTGGACTTAG